GTGTGTGTGTGTGTGTGTGTGTGTGCGTGTGTGTGGGTGTGCGTGTGTGTGTATGTGTACGTACGTTTGTGTGTATGTGTATGTGTGCGTACGTTTGTGTGTGTGTGTGCGTGTGCGTGTGTATGTGTGTGCGAATGTATGTGTGCGTGTGTGTGTGCGTGCGTGCGTGCGCGTGTTTTATGTGTGCGCGCGTGTTTGTGCGCGCGTGTATGTGCGTGTGTGTGTGTGCGTGTGTGTGTGTGTGCGTGCGCGTGTGTGCGTGCGCGCATGTGCGCGTGTTTTGTGTGTGCGCGCGTGTTTGTGTGTGCGTGTGTGTGCGTATGTGTGCGCGTGAGTTTGTGCACGCGCGTGTGTGTGTGTGTGTGCGCGCGAGTGTGTGTGTGTGTGTGCGCGCGCGCGCGTGTGTGTCTGTGTGTGTGTGTGTGTGTGTGTGTGTCTGTGTCTGTGTGTGTGTGTGTGTGTCTGCGTGCGTGCGCGTGTGTGCGTGCGTGCGCGTGTGTGCGTGCGTGTGTGTGATACATAATGTATTGTCTCTGTGCACATAGGCGTGCGTTTGCGGTAAGATTGCTGACGGCATTTAAAAGCATTACAAAGGACAAACGTTGTGATTATTTGCTATCTACTCATCGTAAATAGTCAACGAAAGCGAATGTAAAAATAGAAATAAAAACTTTGTCTACCCCTACGGTCGAGGGAGACGGCTCTGATTGCTCTTCTGTGATTTGCGACTTCGCAGAAAAACCTGCAACTCGCCTGCTCGCAGTTACCTTGACGGTCACCATAAAAAAACGACATGCGGTGCCTGTCAGGATTGCGTGCCTTCCTGTGTGTGCGTACATGGGGTACATATACGTCTTTATGTATACGTGTAGCGTCTAGATACACGCGTATCACTATGCGCGCTTCTTCCATGTATGTGTGCATGTGCAGGTGCGTGCGGGCGTGCGTGTACGCCTACATGCAAGCGTCCGCGTGCACGTGCCTGCGAGAGTGCGTATGCGCGTGCGTCCAGGCGTGCGCGTGCGTGCATACGTTTAGCTGCTTTGTGTGGATATGCTTTGTGATCGCACAGTTCGCTGTACACGCTCATGCGTGCGCACACATTCTAATGATTACGCCCGCACGCAGGCACGCATCGACGGACGCACGTACGCACGCCCGTACCTACTTATACAGGCAGCCAATCACGCAAGCACATAGCTAGCTGTAGTACTACGAAGCACACAAATACGCACGCACGTGCGTATACATGTATGAACGCACGCAGTCACATACCGACGCACGTACGTACGCACGCAGGCCGGCACAGACATTTGTATGGGTGCATGTATGTGTGTGTGCGTCGCTCAGTGCGTGCGTCAGTGTCTTTAAAATGTTCATTAGGAAGGTGTTGACACTTTTATTGATATTTTCATTGAACTTGCAAAGAACAGCAGCTCAATGCAGCTGAGCTGTTTCATTGTATTCCCGGTAAAATTCATAACTGCTCGCTGACAGCTATTCATCTGTGCGTCAGCCTATGCATTCGGCGCACGGATCCATAGCTGCCAGCACTGCATACTGTCGTAGGACG